TACAGATGCTGAAGACCAGGAAACACTGACCAATCAGAGCAGATATGGATTTTTTGGGAGAGGGAGACCAGAGCTAAACCAGAGAGTTTCATACAACTCACGTATATTCAGACAAACAGTAAGAGAAAAAAGGTATCATATTATTATTAAAGCATGACTAGATAACCTGAAATAAATGTATGTACCTGAAATCAATGTCACCCTTTTTTTTTGTTTGGAAAAAGTTGCCACTGATAGAGGTCTCAGGGGAAATTATTTGAAAGTGTAAAGTGGTGCAGTTGAACAGGTCACAATGCAAGCATCAATCAAAGAAGTGGAAAGTTCATAGCCATCATTCTGAACCAGTGAAGGTATCTCTTATTAAACCACTCTATGTACTGTTATTAAAAAAGGTATTGTTTTACCTAAAAACACCAGACCAATCCAGGTCGAATAATCTTCTGTTATAAAAATCTGCACTCAAGCTTTCTAAAAATCTGTGCTCCATTGCCATCTGAAAACCATGGTGCCGATTTCATACGATTAACCACGCAAAGCAGAAGATTGGCTCCTGACGTGCTCCTATACAATCTCTCCAATGAAAGTGACCCCCTCAGGTTTTCCCGCTGTGCCTGAACTCTATGTGAACTGCAAGCCTTCTTAACAAAGACATTGCACCCCAAATGGCTTCACCAAGTCACACACAGGAACATTTACTGTGGGTATTTACACTACATTTACTACACTTTACAATACACTTATTTATGTGTTACTTTTTTACATTATTCAAAGTAAAGGAAAGGAGCGTCTGTTAGCAGCACTACATATATGTATACCATAGAAAAAATACTGAATCAATTAGCTGTCACTATGGGGGTTACATTTGCCCAAAAGTCCCACAAAATGTACCCGAATAGCAGGCTGATAACATCATCTTTATAAAAGCTGCTTTGTCACACCTCTTTTTATAGTTAGGCAAACAATAAGAACCTGCTTCTACAGTGTATCCCCTCACCATTATCACAAAAGAGGGCACAGCTTATGACAGGTATTTTAATTGGTACTCAGAAAGTAAGGTGTGTTATTTAGTAAAATAGCTGCGGTTTGCACTTTCTCACTAAACGTTTGTTTCAGGAGTCAGAACGGCAGCGTCGACAGAACAGAGATGTCACGGCAAGTCATGCAGAAGCAGCGGTAACAAGCGGGGGTCTGTGTGTGTGTGTGTGTGTGTGTGTGTGTGTGTGTGTGTGTGTGTGTGGGTGTGGGTGTGGGTGTGTTTGTGTGAATGTAGAGTCAAAAATAATTTGATGAGTGCCTCTACTGGAGGAGGAATGTGAGTGGAAGAATGAAGAGCGGAGCAGCTCCAGTTTTGACAGTGCTGCCTGTCCTCCACTTCTCTGCGCTGCTCAGGCTTCAACACCTTCAGCAGCCTCACGCTTGGACGAGCTCCAAGTGCCACCAAGGTCAGGAGAGCACTGTCATTCAACACCACTGTCTGTGTGTGTGTGTGTGTGTGTGTGTGTGTGTGTGTGTGTGTGTGTGTGTGTGTGTGTGTGTGTGTGTGTGTGTGTGTGTGTGTGTGTGTGGCCTAGCATTACTATACTTGTGGGGACTTAAATCTGTTTACACAGTCACGTGTGGGGACTCACCTCCCTTATGGGGACAAATTGGAGGTCCCCATGATGGGAATCATTACTTTTAGGGTGAAGACTTGGTTAGGTTTAGGATTAGGGTTAGGGTAAGGTTAAGGGTTAGGCTTAGGGTTAGGCATGTGTTGATTATGGTTAAGGTTAGGATAAGTCTCCAGGAAATGCATGTAAGTCAATGTAACGTCCCCTGAATGAATACATGGTGTGTGTGTGTGTGTGTGTGTGTGTGTGTGTGTGTGTGATGTGGGGGAGTGGAGGGGTGAAGGCAGGGTGGTATGGACAAGAGCAAACACAAGCCTTGATGTGTGTGTTTGTGTATTAGTTGCTGTGGTAACTGCAACAGACAGTAACAGTGGCAACAGCGGAGGAGCTTGTACTTTATATCTCATGTCTGTGTCTAACATTGTGTGTGCGTGTGTCTCAGAAAATCCAACGGCCCATTACAGATCTGGATCAACTATATGTCAAAACACCATACTGCACAGCAGCCTTCCGGACATTCAAATACAATTAAAAAAACAAGTATTCTATATTCGATTATTTCATTTTTAAATGTCTTTTTAGACGTTGTGTGGCAAGAAATATAATTGTCGATTTATAAAGGCCACTTCATAATTTCTGCGTCCTTGAGGGTCTGTGGGAAAAGTCCCATTGCAGCCTAAATATGTGAATGCCAGGGCTTCTCTTAGAAACAAACTGAATGATTGTTTTGGAAAGAGGTTGTGTGGAGAGATTCACCGTGAGGCTCTTACCAACATGGATAGAATTGTTTTTTAAAGGAAAACCAACAAAGCCAAATTACTTTGTACCCTTGATGAATCGCTGACTTGCAGTATGAATGGAACAACATGCACATCTGGACTAACAGAATGAACGTTAAATATAATACTTGTTTCAAAATTAGATAAACGATAACAGCTATTGATAGATAATTCAACAGTAATGATATATATTCTAGCGTAATTCTCCATAAACAAAAACACTTTTAGCATATTTAAACTAAACTCACAATTTTGTAGAAAGCTTGATAGCATAACCAGATTGTTACAATTTTGTAATTATTGAGAACAAAGGCATGTCGGGGAATTGTTAATGACCTTTCAAACTGAAGAAACCATCTATTAATATCAGGTCCTGTATGTTGAGAAATTCTACTGCTTTCTATCAGCCTTTACTCTCTATTTTTGACACCGCCATTGGAAACAACTTAGGCTTATGTGAACCATGTAACTTGAAAAATGAACCCTGGTTGTACAATGTTATATCATCTGGCAAAGTGCTGTTGTAATGTTGCTTAACAGTTTGAAACACGCTAAACCTCATCACAACTTTAACTGAAAGACCTTCTGTTTGTGAGTCCATCTGTCCCAGATAAGAAACTTCCGGCGATCCTGCCAACTAAACCGCAAGTTCTCTGTCTCAGTTTCCGTCTCCCTATAAACCGCCTGCCGTCTACAGTGAGAGTGTGAGGAGACAGTGGTTTGGCAGTTATAAGTAATCCCTCTGATGTCGGTCATCCTGCTCCCCTCCCCTCCTGTCATCACACTGGAGGGTCTCAGGGTGAAGTTTCAGGAGTGATCATGTCCCCTGTCCCCTTCATTTTAATACTTGTGTCCCTGCTTCTGCATCCTATCTCTTTAATTGCCACTTATTCATGTCCACTTCACTACACTAAGTGTCTCTAGTCGCTCGTGCTGTTGAATACAAGGGACTCTATTCATCTGTATGCTGCTGTTTATTTCTTTCTTAGCGAGTGTCTTCTGTATTTCTTTGGATTTAATTCAGAGGGAGTGATTATGTGCATGCTGATCATGCAGCCACACATCATTCTTTTATTCCTCTCCCAAATGTTCTGAGAAGTCTCTCTGACCTCCCTCTCTGTCTCTTTCTCATTGTTTTCTATTTTTTTCTTGCTGGCCCTACAGGAAACGTCTGTCCCTGCGGTGGTTTTTACAATCTGATTCGCTAATGAGAGGAAATTGGAGTTTATCTGCCTCAGAGACAGAGGAGCGAGAAAAGAGTCAAACTTCTCCGACCCCAAGCAGGAAAACAAGCATATTTTAGCCATTACTGGGACTGCCAAGGCACACA